CTCTAAGAAAATCCGGACTCGAGAAAAACCCGGACCCAGACTCGAAAAAATCCGGACTCGTGTTTAAAAAAACACGAACTTGACTTTTGAAAACCCTGACTCCAAATAGAAAAAACCGGATTCAAAACAAGGACTCTGTAGTGTACGAAAATACAAAGGTTTTTTGGAAAGGTTTAATAGCAGTTAACATGATAAACGATGATCTCTTTATAACAATAATCCGGTATATTAAATAAATTTCTAGTCAAGAGTGCTGTTGCACAATCTGGCGTAGTGCCGATAAAGAATCTGAAGCCCCGTTTACACTACGCTCAATTTTTGGTACGGCACGGATAAAATTGGTACCCGTACCCTTTTTTGGTTCTTGGACTATCTATTTAGCTAAGCCTCGTTTACACTATACGCTCAATTTTTGGTACCGTACCACTTTTTGGTTTTTGGACTACCTAAATATATATATATATATATATATATATATATATATATATATATATATATATATATATATATATATATATATATATATATATATATATATATATATATATATATATATATATATGTTTAAAGATTTGTAATCCAGGCATATTATAATTAATTAAAGTTCTCCGGATTGAAATATACTTTTTATATTTCAATCCGGAGAACTTTAATTAATTATATATATATATATATATATATATATATATATATATATATATATATATATATATATATATATATATATATATATATATAGCTTAAGATTTTGGTTTACGAAACACAAACAGTGCTCAATACCATATAGATAGAGCGTAATATAGTTTCTCGTTTTACCTCAAAAAACCACAACAGTCTGTTTCATCCGTATAGGAATCATCAGGTGGTCTAGGTATAGGAATCATCAGGTCATCACTATACGGATGAAACAGACTGTTGTGGTTTTTTTAGGTAAAACGAAAAACTATATATATATATATATATATATATATATATATATATATATATATATATATATATATATATATATATATATATATATATATATATTGCCAAAAAACAACCTCAATAAAAATTATTTCCGTTTTAGCAAAGTAACTTCAACCAATCAAAAAGCAAAAAGAGCGCCGGAAAAGCACATCACATGCTGAAGGCAAAATATTATATTTTGTCTTGAGGTTTTTAAGCAAAGTTTTGATCCAGCGTACGGGCGACAGGAGGAATGTAGCTTAAACTTATATAAACTCTTTACTTGGAGGCGCCGAATGTTTTATTCGTAGACCGTAGTCGTAGACCAAGTATTTCATGTTTTTTATACGTGTCGGTTGGGCAATAAATTTTATCAGCTGCATCATAATGAGATAAGGATATAGCCTATATCATATCATATTACAGTAAAACATATTGACATGCATTGCCATTGGGACCGGGTGTATCACTGTATTTGTTTTAATTAATACAGTAAATCGAAATCCACAACGAGTATAGTCGAAACAGGCAAACATCTTTATCTTCGTGGTATTAAACATAGCTATGGGCGGCCGTTATCACCAAAAATACTACACGTGTGAAATGAATGGACATAAACAGAAATCATTCATTACAAACACGAACGAGTCACCTTGTTTAGAAATGCTTGAACCTAACGTAGTGATATGACTGGACAAGACCAGAAATGATTTGTTTAAAATTGAAACGATTCACTTGATTGTGTATTCATTCGTCTATTATTGCGCTGATTCATATAGTTCAAGTGAAATGGCTTAGCATATTTTGCAATGACTTAGCAGGTCGTATACAAGTGACACGTTCGGTTGGCAAATACTGAATTCATGCTTTTTTAGAACCATCTGCTGTGTTTTAAAATAGCTCAACTAAATACGAAATGATTCAACTAGATGGGACGTGATTCAACCTTATGTGAAATAAATAAACTAAATGTGAAACGACTCAATGCAATGTGAAATCACTCAATTAAATGCGACATCGTTCAACTAGATGTGAGAATCTTGACTATTCAATACCATGTGAAATCACTCAACTAAATGTGAAATCACTCATAGGCGTACGGGTACATTTTTTGAGGGGCTGGACTGAATTTGCCCGAATGACATGACGTCATGGATTTCGTGACGTCATCATAAAATTATATAATCTGAGAAGACTACAGATTTACTTTTTTACCATGCATTGTGAACCAATCGAGAATGTACCTCTTTCTACGATTCATCCAAGTTTGTTTGTCCCTTCCTTAACAATGGTACCCATAAGATACCCGATACCGAACTAAATAAGATACCCGTCAGAATTACTCCACGCACAAGACAGCACAGTTATATAAAATCTCTTAGGCATTGCAGACTTTGAGACCTATGCAAGTGAATAAAACTGCCCCGAGTCAACCACGCTTAATTCCATGTTGCTCAGTGTTGAACGCCAGATCTATTGCAAAACCTGATGCTTTTCCTGCTTTGTGCGCAGACATTAAGTGCAATAACATAGATGTTTGTTGTATAACCGAAACATGGCTCAAACCGACTATACCTAGCTCCCTCGCTTGTCCTCCCAATTTTTCCATCATTAGAAAGGATAGAACAAACTGTGGAGGAGGAGGTGTCGCGATCTTATGCAGGAATGATTGGAGAATGCAGCTACTACCTGATTTGGATAATCCATTCGAATGTTTATGGACAAAAATTATTACACAAAACTCTGAATTCTTTGTTGCAACTATTTACCACCCACCTAACTATGAGTATAATGAGCAAGACCTTATCGAATTCCTTATTGACTCGTGCGAACAACTATTGTTATCTAAACCGAATTCAAATATAATAATTGCTGGTGACATTAACAATTTAAACATTCGATCTGTTCTTAATCAACTTCCATTTACCCAACTCGTTAAGACCCCTACGAGAGGGTTAAAAATATTAGATGTCTTTATTACAAATGTCCCAAACTATTGGAAATCTGATAAAGTTGTAAAAAGCTTGGTGAGATCCGACCATGATATGGTTATCACATACCCCCGAAACATAGTTAAAGCAACAAGGACAAATTCCTATTTCAGAGATGTGAGACAACATCATCAATTGAATATGCTTCGTGAACTTGAATCTATTGATTGGAACACGATAATTATGAATAGCCATAACCTAGATGAGATAACCCTAAAATTTTATGAAATAATATGGCCAAAATTCGATAAGAGCTTCCCACTAATTAAGGTCAGAACGTCATCACGCGACCCTCCGTTCATGTCTCCTCTTGTGAACCACCTTCTGAATCAAAGGAAAAGAGCATACAAA